AATGGCGGTGGAATTGCATGCGAACGCAGCCGCTAGGGGCCTTGGTGGAGCTCTTTGTGAGGCCACGAAACGTGAGAGGGGAGTGCCCAAATCGGGGTAGTGAGGAGGGGGGAGTGGGAGGAGGGAGTGGGCAGCGGGGGGAGGAAGGAGGCGCGGGGCGCTGTCTCCTCAACGAGGACCCACCACCACAGGGCGGTTGGGAAAAAGGGGTGGGGTGGGGGGATCTTCAGAAGCTCGCTTCGGCCGGAGCGCCCTGAGAGCTGCGCGAGCGAGAGGTCATTGAACATAGAGTGCCAGTTCGCTGGGGGGGGGGGGGGGGGGGGCGAAGACGGCAGAAGCGGTTGCAAGTGTCCGTGTCCAATATCTGGATGTCCGCGCAGAGTTCGAAGTGCTGCGCGCGGGCCCTGAGCAGGCAAGGGCCGCGCCCTTGTTTGGTTGGGGAGCCGCGGCTCAGCTATCTGAAAGCCGTGGTCGATTTCGACCAGGGCACCATGCATTCAGAAAGCGCAGGCATCACCGTCCAACTGAAGACGTCGAGCGCGGGCCGCGACTTGTCTCCGCCCGCGTGGATCAGTCGCGTTGCCGCTGACGCAACTGAAGAACCTGACTGCGACTTCGCGCCCCCGAGCGACGCATCCGCATTCGAAGCGGCGCTTGTCCAAGACCACCCGAGAGCCTTCGCCGTCTCGCGTCCGCCGAGGCCGAAGCAGCTCCGTGCTGACCCCCAGACCCATTCCGTCTCGGGCGGACGCAGGACAAGCTGGCGCACCTGACCGCGGACCAGCTGATGCGACGCACCCCTCCAGCTGCGCTCCCCGCGTCGTCGCCGCAGGTCGCGGAATTTACCGATCAACCCGCGAAGAATTGCAAGGTCTGCGACGGGTTCCGGGCGCCGCGCGCGCGCCCAAGTGCATTTGGCATGCCTACGAGAAACGTAAAGGACCGAGCGTGCATCGACTTCTTTGAGATGTCCGCGCGCGGTAGCAAGCGCAGCTTCCATCGTGTTTTTCGTCGATTCCTTTTCGAAGATGTCCCTCGCAGAGACTGCTCCTGCCCGGGCCCCCCGGGAACTCTTGCCCCCCCCCCCCCCCCCGAGATGGCAATCGGTCCGCGGCTGTCTCCCGCGCAGCGTCCTCGCAGACAACGGCGGTGGGCTTGGAGGTGGAAGCGTTCTGGGCGCATCGCGGTGCGAGGCAGGTTGGGCCCCTCCTCGTGCCCCCGACTCTGCTGGCCCAGTAGAGCGACGCAGCGGAGTCCTCAACATGCCTTCTACAACTGTGCCGAGACCTTCGGGGCCAAATTGAGCGTGGCCACGCTTGCGCCGACGGACGTCGCGCCCCAACCATGTGCTGCCAAACGCATCATCGTCCGAACATGTTTTTTTGTTTCCTGCTCTGTTTCTGGCCCTCGGCAACAACCGTATCTTCGACCAGCCTGATGAGTGCGAGCCACCGCGACTGCGGGCGTCCAGTGCGCTTCCAGGCCCGAAACTGCCAACGATGCCCAAGTCAGGCTGCGTTTCCGTCGTGCTGCTCAGGCTGTCGTTGTGCGCGCCCAGACGTGTCCCGAGCTTCGCAATGTCTTCCATTCTCGTCTTGAGGTGCCGGGGTTGAAATCGATTGCGTCGCAGACGACGCCCCGAAAGCCAAAACAGCAAAAACTGCGAGGAAGAGGCTTGCTGCGGTCCTTCGACTGCAAAGGAACCAGCAAGTTTGGCTTGGGGCCCCGGATGGCAAATCCATAGCTGCCCGCAGGCACCAGGCGCGCCCGAAAGATAGCAGAGGCCCCATGGAGCACCAGGCGCAAGCCGGCCAGCAACAGACTGGACCAGCCGACGCAGCATGACCGAATCCGCGCCAGCTGCTGGAGGGGCAGGGGAAGGGAAGGGCAGGGGGGGAAGGGGCTGGAAGAGGAAGGACAGGAACTTCGTCTTAATCAGCAGGCAGGGGCGCAGCTAGAAGGGCTGCGCCCTGAGCAGCCGCGGGCGAACAGCCCGCGCAGGGGTCGCCAATGCTTCGACGCAGAATGGCAAAAAGGCTACATGACGTTTCCTTCGCAGTGCCTGGACAGCGGCGTGGCCGCGCTGCCGCGCTCGAGGCGAGCCGCCCTTGCACGGCAGGCGCCGCCGTTGCGTGCGAGCCCGCTCCGGGCACTTTCGTGGCAGCTAAGACCATGGAGCGGTCCAGAGAGATTCCTTCTCGGGTCGCTGAGTCAGATTCTGCTTCCGAATCGCCGCGATTGAAGGGGCTCGACGCCGTCTCCGAACATTTCCCGTGGCCGCGTCCGCCCCGTCCAGGTCTGTGCGCGCTGCCGAGGTCGGAGGCTAAACCGCGTTTGGTGGTGCAGGGCTGGCGCGTACCAGGCGCTGAAAAGCACGTCTTGATCCCCTGCCTTCAGCGGAACTTTGTTAGACATCCGTTGCGGTTGGCGGCCCCGCGCGGATGGGCGCCGCGAGCGCCGGGCGCCCGAAAAGAGTTCCTGCGGGCCCAGACCGACGCTGACCCGCAGTGCGACAGTTCCCCTGTCTTCGCGGCGCCGCCCAAGAGCGCGCTCGTTTGCCCCAGATTCGCATGGGAGTTGCGCAGGGGGAAACGTTTTGAGCGGTCTCCGTTGCGCACCGCGTGCGCGTTTTATTTTAAGGGACGCGGCGGGCCCCGCGTCTTCCAGGGGAGGGGCAGTTTTGTGAGATTTCATCGATTCGATGCCCCTCCACGCCCAACTGAAGGGCGACTTCGCGTTCTGCTGGTTGCGTATATTGGTGATACATATCAGACATCTGGAACAGGAGGATTGCTGTCGTTCCCTGGCGCTGTTCGCCCCACCGAGCCCGACAACCCAGCGCTCCCGCGACAGCGCTGGAACGCGCCGCGCTATGGCTCCAGTTGGAGAACAGATCTGGCGCGCGTATCGCACTGGCCCTAACGGTGCCATTGCGCGTGGCTCCACCGCGTCCAAAGCGCCGTCTGCAATCGCGCCCGCCTTCCTATATGTCAACGAGAGTGCTGGAAGATTGGGGTGGGGGGGGCTTTGTATTCTGGGCCCGTGGGCCCCCCCTTCGAAAACTTGCGCGCGGGCGGCGATTCGTCCATGGACAAGCCGCCACAGCATGGCGTGATCGCAATCATCGGAGAAACGATCCCTGGTGGGCAGAACCCCATTGCGCGCGATTGTCTTTACCGCTGGGCCTGCAAGTTGCAGACGAGAGCGATTAGCTCCGCGATGGCCATTGAAGGCCTTGCTGCCGAGAGCGATCTTCATGCGCAGTACGTGACGCGGAGGAGAATTCAATAGGCACTTAATCTAGAAGAGCCACCTGCCAGAATCCTCTTAACTGATCTGTGGTTTCTTGTCACGAATGCGCACTCCACCGCGCCGCGCATCGCGGAAGGAAGCCTTGCTCTATCCTTTAGTCGCATTGGGGAGGCGTGCGCAGGTTGACAAACAGCAGCCAATAATACAGTTTTTGTCCCAAGGGTTTGTCGTGTGTGTCTGATGTCAGTATGGTCGCTGATTTACTCGCCAAGCCAAACAGCAATCCATCGGATATCCTCGATTCCGTCAGGTCACGTTCCGTCGGTTTGCGCTCGGCGTCGATACCGACGATCGCTGCTTCGCGCTACCAGTCGTAACCTTGGTTGGCACATGACAGTCCGCCGCGCTGTGGCCTCCCGGCTGGCGGGCGGAAAGCTAAAGTCCGCGATGGTCGCCGCCGCTGCCATGGGCGTTCGGCCTCGGCCCAGCGCGGCGCCAGCGACCACGAGCAAGGCGTCTGCTCCGGCGCCTGCGCCAGGCTGCTTGCAATTGCGCTGGTTCGCCAGCTCAGAGCGATCGAGTGCCATGTGGCGACGGAGAGCCCCCGGAGCTTTCGTGCGGAAGTGCGCGCATTTAGCCGGGTGCAGTGCCGCCAAGACTTCGATCGGCCCGAACAGGCCGAAAGGGCCGCGGGCCCCCTGAGACAACCGGTGCGCGCAGCAAAAAAAAACAATCTTTTGACAGGCAGGTTGGCGCAGGCCAAGCAGCTTCGGGAGTCTGGTGCGCCGCGGAAGCAAAAGCATCGCAACGTCTTGGACTGCCTAGATGAGGATCTTTGCGGACACTGGATGCCAGTTCGCCTGCTCATGGACCGCGAAAGATCCAATAGACAACGAGCCCAGAGCAGGCTGGAGGACGCAGAGCAGGCTCGGCAGGGGAGAACCATGGCCCCAGAGAGGGCATCCAGGTCGCCTGGGTCATCTGCCGAGATAGCCCCATTTTCTTCCAGTCGGGCTCTTGCTGGGGAGCCGAAACCAGGCCTTTCGCGAGTCGATGCGTCCCCGACTCCTAACTGACTCAGGCCCTGCTGAGCTTAGCTCCGACGGCAACAGCAAGGGGGGCGCCAAGAGCGAACCCGAAAATAATCGCGCTAGCCACAACCTCCGATTGGAAAGCGAAAGACCGACGCGGCGCACTTTCGAATATCACATAATACCGCGACCTGAGATTCTCCATGGACCACAGCCTGCGCAACCCCCCGCACCCGTCCAGACGCAGGAAACGATTTTTCAACCGGAAGGCCAAGACGAAATCCAAACCACCAGCGAAGAAAGCTACGAACACTGCTGCTTGCTGAGCTGAGTCTCCTGTTTCTAGCTTCGTTTCATCGTCTGCTTCCACCACTTAGTTGCTTCATCATCCCCTATTATTGCCTTTTGTCTCCGGGCCCCCTATCTGACCACATGCTCTTGCATCCGCTGCTGTTTCGGGCCCTTGAGCCAGGGCCGCCCGAAGAGAGGGAAAATACGTCTTCCGACCCCGATCCGATCCAACTCGACACCCGTTGCCATCTGGGCCTCGTGAAAGGGGTGTTCTGGGGGCCGCGGGGGTCCCCAAGGGAAATTCTAGGGGGGCACCTTGGGCCAGGGGCCAGGGGCACTTCCCGCAACACCCGAACACCACCAAACCAGATCCCGCGAGACCCAATCCCGCCAACGCCCGACTGAGAGCAGCCCCGTGCCCTCGAGGCGACGGCGGCGCCGCCGCAGAGCCCCCCGCGCGCACCGAGCTGGGCGCGCGGGCCGCGGCCGCCGGTCCGCCCGCTGGGGGCGCCGCGCAGGACGAGCAGCTCCGCTGGGAGCTGGGCCGGCGGCGCTGGCGCCCACGCGTGCTGTGGGGCAGCCTCGCCCTCTGGGCGGCCCTAGCGCCCGCCTTCAGGCGCTGAGAAGAAATCAAAAGGTTTTCTGGCAGTTGTTGGCATCGGGGCAGGCCCCGTGGCTGTCATAGCACGACCCACAAGAACAAGTCGGTGCCGGGAAAGGGGTCCAGACCTTAATATGGTCCACCTTGCAAAACAATGTCGACGTCGGCGAACTGGGCCCATCGCCCCCGCCTTCGGCGCCGTCGCTGCCGTCGCCGCCGCCCCAGCAGTCAAGCAGTGGCGGGGCGTCCTGGCTTGCCTTTACGCCCACCAAAGAATGCTCGATACACATTGAGTGGCTTGCACGATACGTCATGATAATATTCCTGGCCGAGACAGCCTTGACTTCATCGATTAGCCTTACCTTCTGAGGGTATTGCTTTTGCTTTTGGAGCGCTCTCCCGTTCTCAGAGCGTGCCCTGCTGGGCCCAACGGGAAGGCCAGGACGGCCGGCCCCCGCTCGAGAAGCGGGCCCCCTCCCTGCCGCCGCCGCGCCGAGAGGCTGCGGCGGGAGGGCAGGGTCGCGACCCGAGCCCTCGAGGCTCGAGCCCTCGAGCCCTCGAGCCGCCGCCGCGCTGGGCGCCGCCGCCGCCGCCGCCGCCGCCGGCGTCGCTCGGCGAGGCGCCACCTGGGGGCCTACACCGCGGCGTGCTGTGCCGCGGTGGGCGCGGCCTGGTTGGCGGAGAGGCTGTACACGAGGCGCGCGGGCCGCACAGGGGAGCGAGGACGGCGCAGCCCACGCCCGCCCCCGCCGGGATCCCCCACGCCCGACCTCTGGCGTGAAGTTGGGCATGTCCCTCCACAGGGAGACTATTCCCAAGTAGTTAAAAATTGATATGGGGACGATTTGCTGATTTGTTTCTTGGCTATCTTAGAATATGTTCTGACTGCTTCTGGTTTTCCTCGAAGATCCCTAAACCTGGTGATCCAGGGAGTCCTGGGTGGGGGGTGGGCAGGGTCTTCTGGCCCCCGAGAGCCCCGTAAGGCCACCTTCGTCCCTGGCGGCCGTGGGCTTGGGCTGTGCTGGCCTCAGAAAAAAACGGCAAAAATACAAACCTTCGGATGTCCGCGCTGATGTCTTGGATCTGCGCTGGGGCCACCCTGGCGGCGCCTCCAGCGCCGATCGGAAAAAAGTCCGCGCGGAGCTCCGAAGGTTTCTGTTTGTGCTGTGTGTTTATCCCGTTTCGCAAGGGGGGCCGACTCTCGGGATCGATCGATCTTCGCGACACATAATCGCGACGGCGTCCTTTTCCAAAACGCCTTTTTGCAACTTCCCTCCTTTTCCTCGGGCAGGCCTGAGTAGTATGAGAACAGATCGCTCCAAACTCCAAACTCAGACTTCCGACGATATTTTTTTGTTGTTGTTCCATCTGCATTGTTTCTCTCATTTCGGCCCTTGAGGATTGTCTCCCCCCCCCCACGGCAACCAGCCGTTGGTCCGTGACGAGAGCCTGCCCCCGAGCAAGCGGTCGGGGCTTCCGGGGCCGCGGCTTGACAGCCTCGGATGCCCGGGGAGCCTTCCAGAACGAATGAGGATGAGGAGGAGGATGAGGAGGAAAAAGGAGGAGGACGAGGAGAGGAGGAGGAGGAGGAGGAGGAGGAGGAGGAGGAGGAGGAGGAGGAGGAGGAAAAAGGAGGAGGACGAGGGCAGGAGGAGGAGGAGGAGGAGGAGGAGGAGAAGAGGAGGGGGATTGGATAAATGAGGAGGAGGAGGCGGAGGAGGAGGAGGAGACCGGCCTCCGGTGCATCCTGCGGAAGCCCGCTGTGCTTCGGAGGTCCTCGAGCTGCCCTCGTCCCGGGGTTCGCCCCCCTCCTGCCCCCGCCGGTGCTTCCTCCCTCGCCCCCGAGGCATGCGATGCCTCGGTCTTTGAGTGCGTGGACCCCCGGAGGTCTCGGCCGCAGTCCCCGCGGTTGGTTGTTCGTCCCGAGTCGTCTTTGGCGGCCCCAGAGCCCGGCGAGGGCTCCTCGAGGCCGGAAACGGCCAAGCACGTAAAAACGACACGTTACGACGCGAGCAGGTCTGGCTCCCCTCCCTTGTCGGCCACGCGCAGAGGTGGGCAGGGAGGGGGGGGAAGGCTTCTTGGAGGGGGGCAGGTTCTTGGAAGGCGCGGGCCTTGTCCTGTAGATGCGAGGCCCGCGCCCTCGAAGAAGCGGCCTCCTTCTATAAGAGGCCTCCCTCCCTCCCCCCTGCCCCCCTCCCTGCGCGCCACCAAGCCTCTTCGGGCATCAGGGTCCCCCCCCCCCTTCGCTAAGTGAAACTGTTCAGCAAATAATTGACAAATCACCTGCCTCCCAGGGCCTCGGAGCAAAGCTCTTTTTATCAGGGGTGACGCCCGCTGTGCTACCCGTCGTGGCACCCGGGACAGGCGCTGGCGCGCCCGCTGCGCCGCGGCCGTGTGCGTCTACGCGGTGGCGCCGCCGCCGCAGACCACCGCGCACCTGCTGCCCCTGGACGGCCAGTCGCCTTGA